GTTATGTTTACTACCTTTTTTATCTTTTTCAGTTCCTGATGAGGTTCATTTTCATCAGAATTCTGAGTAAAGCATTCAGGAGAAACCCATTGTGCCTCAATCTCAAACGCATTTTAAGTAAAAATATAAATGTTCAAATATCTCAGAAATGTGAACCGGAAGTTCAGAGTTACCCCGAAAAACTTCAAACCACCATATCGTTCGTGCTATTTGTGAAAACCCGCAAATCCTTACTGATAAATTATTACACGAAGATTTCTACCCGAATTATTTAAAACGAACTGCTTATTAGTTTGTTTATGTACTCAAAGTCAACTCAACGTATTTTGAACCGAGCTACCTCTACACTGTTACCTAAAAATAATGGCGATGATTTTTTTTTTACATTTGCTAGAATTTTTAAGCGCACGAATCTTCGACCAAATCTTTATAGTAAAGCAGAATAACTGATTTCATACGTCTATTAGAAGAAACATGGTGTGCGAAAACAGCAAGATTGTATGGGCTGATTAACCGTCTCAGACGTTTAAAGCAACATTTTTGCCCTTATCGAAGTTTTCATGACTTTTGGGTAACTTCCGACGTTTGACCTTTTCGGCAGGCCGGAAAGTTGTTTGTGTTGAATGCGACACGTAATGCATGAAAAAAAATCAGATATTCGGAAATGAAAGCAGAACAAAGTTGGCTAGAGGAAATTCAGAAATTCGCTTTTAAACAGCTAGGAAGTCATTCTTCTTCCTCTTCTTTTCTTTTTTTTTATTTAAAATGTCTTCTGTATTTAGTGTAAGGTCGTTGCCATTGCAGATTAAAAATTGCTTCCTTATGCGGCAGGTTTAACCATTCGGGCAGAATTGCTGTGCAGTAACGGACGGTTTTGTTGTTATAACGACTGATGAAAGATCTGACGCAAAAAAAATGTTACAAAATGATGTGTCAACCGGTGAGTCTGCCGTTCATCAACGATGGATACATCCCTTGTTGGACATCTTACGTCATTTGTATGCTGGCAGAATGACGTTTTTCCATACCAAATACGCAGACATTTCGTTACATCGATTTGTTCAAAGTTAGAAGAGCCACCGAGTACACATGTATACAGTAAACATGGAAATTTTTCCTGTTCTGCATAATTAATTATGTGAAGAAAAAAAATGAAAGTGCAAAGTAACATATTTCACCTCTATCATATATTCGTTTAATAATTTCAACAATTGAAAAGCTATACTTTATGGAACTGCAGACAGATTTAGTGCTTCTATGCAATGGTTTTAGATTTTTTTTCTGAAAAAAGCGAGATAGAAATGCTAAAAATAAAACAGGCCATCGAGCAGAGTTTTGGAAGGTAAATGTAGTTTAATGAACGCAGAAAAACTACAAAAATGTAGATTTAGCCGAAAGATACCTGTCAACAGAGGAGTGAGGCATAGACAGTTGATCATTTGGTTAAGTCACGTGCTCTCCTGGCGATCAGAGGTCATTTCAGTGTGGAAAAAAGCAAAGCACATTGGAGATCAATTGACGGATACGTCAGACTGCGAACAGTTTAAATGTAACTACAGAAATCGGTCATCAAGATTTCGGTCATCATCAAGATTTTGTTTCATCTAGACTTTCTCGACCGTAGTGCTGATTTAGATTTTTCCGAACAAAAGCAAAAGGAAGGGGAAAAACCATCTAAAAGGCCAACCTATTTATGTTTACTTTTTTCATCTGTTAGCAGTATTAAACACCACCTAACAATGGATGCAACTTTTTGATTAGCATCAAATTGTTTTTGACAAAATAAACAAATAAGAATTCTTTTTCCTCCGCATTCAAATCGTGGCAGCGATGAAATTAATGCAAAATATATGTAAATCTTTATATTGTATGTTACGAAATAGAAATGATTGAAAAACAACATTTTTTTTTTTTTTTTTTTT